TCTCACAGAATGGACAAATTGGACTGAGGTCTACCCGGAGTGTCGAGATATAAATATCTAATACCAGTATCTAAATTTGATTTCCGGTATGTTAGTTTACTACAAACTGAAAGATTTTTTTTAATTTTCTCAGCGATAGCTACGTTAATTGGAACCAAAACGTTATCGACAAGATTCCAGGGACGACAGTGACAACCACCAAAACGTGCTTAAAGGCAAATAAACACGTCAAGCATAACAAAGTCGTAGCGTAAAATAGTAGGGGACTAAACCATAGTTGACTTTTGGGGGGAATGAACATCAGTCAATTTGAGGGTCGAATTATGCTATGAAAAAGTGGAGACCTTCAACATACTTTATGTACATTAGTACAACGTCATTTTGTGTTTGATTACCTAACGATTTTAGGTTCATGTGTAGACTGTTGACAGTCCTCGCCGTCGGGTCTAATGTAATTAATATTTGGAACGACCGACCGACTGGTATGACAGTTCGAGTGCACATACTTAAGCGGCCGCCCCTCAGCAAATTATTCAGCCCAAGTATTGTTCGTATCAAAACCGCGAAACTATCCGTTTTTACGCAATCTGGTTGAGAAGTCCGAATTAAAAGAACCAACACGTACCAAAAAATTATATCTCAAAAGTCTAACCGGACCGGAAGTGTGAATTTGTTACTACTCTAAATACGCAAACATATTTTAGTATAAGTTAGTAATAAAACATTACTACAATTATCTAATTGACATATCTTGCAAATCATATTACTAACATCTGGTTCTCAATATTAGTAGTTGAATGTCTTCATTCTGTGCACTTTATTCTACGTCTAAAAAAAAATTTCGCCCCATTTCTTGAAAATTGCATTTGCTAGTTACACCAAAACTTGAACGTGTTTGATATTCCATTGATACGATTCCCAAATTTGATGAAAGTTGTTGAATTAGAAGGCAAACAAACAAACTGGTTATATATTATTATATCTAAAAAGATCAGATAAAACTGTTTGAGTTATTGAACCACAAGATAAGATAGTTTAAAGGGCGGTGGTCGTCGCGCCGCGCATGTGCGACATTTGTGTTGATAAACATTGATTTTCCCACAATCCAGTGATCTCTTCTAATGGAAATCATGAGTATGT